CACATGTGTATTCCCACGTAATAAACTTCCAGATCTTGTAAATTACCCCATTACCTTGGCATTGGAATTGGCCAGATATTCTAATCTCTGGGTCAGAACCAATGAAAACTTCTGGAGAATGAGAACCTAACCAAACCTCTCCAAAGTCTAACTGCAATTTCCACATTGTGCTCCAGTAAGTGGATTGATTGCCCTAGCAATAGTCTATCCAGGTAACCTAGAAAGGGTACCCCTTGGAGTCTTAATAGACCCAAGACTGGGGAAAAAATCTCCTTGAACAGTGCGTTAGGCATGGCCACAAACTGAATCTACTGATACTCCAATGATGAGGAGGTCAAAATTGGGACATGAAAATTAACATCCTTTATGTCCACTGGTGCCAGGAACTCCCTTGGCTACAGTGACACCACCACTGCCCAGAACATGCAGAACTTGTTGAGACCCTTAAGGTCAAATGTTGACCATACATTGCTGCTGGGTTTTTGGACAAGAGACAAGATATTTGAAGGAAAAAAAATTGAGAAACCTTTTGGCCTCCGGAACTGGCATAATCAGTCCTCGCTTGAAATGGTAACAACTCTTGCGGATTCCAAGACATTTGAATGCATAAATCGTGTCAGAGGAAACTTTTGGAACATCAACCTGTAAGCATGAGAGATGGTGCAATGGACCTACTCATCTGCCTTCTTCCATACCCCAAACATTCCAGCACCTGTCTCCCTACCCAAGCAAGTGGGAGCACCCCTTTATAGAGAGGAGAATTTAGAATCTGGCTATTCTGGCTTAGGGGCCCAAGTCATCTTATAAAAGTGACCCTGAGGCTTCCCTTTCGAGGTAGAGGCCTGTGACCACCAAAAAAGACTGTCCAGAGAGAGATGATCCCGAAAAAGGAGCAGTCACTGCCCTCTGAGACAAACACTTACTCCTTTTCCTGAGAGGCAAAATAAAACTCTTATAATATATTAAATCCACACATTAAATCACGTACAGCCAATATCACCAAAATAAATCAATTGTAAAGTTCCCCAAGCTGCTAGACCAATCCTCCCCCCCGGAAAGGCGAAATGTATATATATTAAAGTCCAGTGCTGCAATTTATAATTTCCTTCCACAGTCACATAAAATCTCCTATGCTGGTAACTTCCTTCAGTTCTTCTTATGCTCTCAACAGATAATAAAGTTGATCAAGTCCTTCAATCTATGCGTGAATATATGAATCCCTCCTCCTCTTCTCCTAAGATGACTCTCTCTCACCATGCAGACCTTTTACATAGAACATAAAAGTCCCATAGACCGCCACTCCAACTTCTATAGATCCCTTGTCTGCTGGCTCTCCACTCATATTCTTTGACTCCTAGTGAATGTGGGTCAAATAAAGCTTAATCCCAAAACAACCACTGTGTCGTCTCCTTCTTTCATTTATTCTCTATCACAATTTACAAATGTAAGTGATTACGTGTCACCCAACACCCAATGCCGTGTTTATTCTTCTCTCCCACATGCCCATATACTCTTACCAAATATAACATATTCAAGTCATAGATCTTTCAACTACAGTCCTCCTCTAATCAGAAGATCCTTCTAATCCTCAGATCCTTAAAGAATACCTTCATTAAATAGTCATGGACTGTTTAGCAAACAGCAACATATAGTGCTGTCATGTCTGTAACCTGTAATTCAGTTCCTTTAGGACGGAGCTCTCCCCCTTGGATAGAAAAAGTGAAATGGAGATTAAACTCTTCAAAGGATGTCATTGATTGTGCAACACTCGGCAAATAAATAATTGTTTGGCATCTCCAAAAGGATGGCTTCCTTTTCATCAAACCATCCCTGCCTCAAGCCTTTATATAAAGAAAAGTCTTACCTCCCAAAATCTTTTGGATATACTGACCAAGTCTGTCACAATTAGACATTCCACATGGAAGGAAAAAAAAGGAAAAAAAAAAACTGCCAATAACTTCTTGCAGGGTAACTTTGCAGATCAATTCTTTAGCCAAAAATCCTGCGCATATGGACAGACAAAGTCCCAGACACAACATCTGCTGAATGGAATCCTACAAGATATTTACTGCAACACAGAGAGCCTTATGTAATCCTCACCAGGATCACCCTCAGTGTCTGCAGAATTATGTATACCTAGCCACTTGGCTCAGCCCTTAAGACTCTGGCAGTTGTCCTACCGGGAAGGGTGTACATTCTCTGTCTGAAAAACCTGGGACAGAGGGGAGGCACACGTGCACACTGAGCAGGCATCACCTGCACCACAGGAGGTCAAGACCTAGGCAGGAGAGCTGGAGCCAGGTATATTCCATCTCCTAGTGAATTTTTTCCTCCTGCGTGAACCTTTTAGTTGGAACAACACCCTATCAGGGTGAGACCATTCCACAAATACTACCACCTCTAATGAAAGTGTAAGGGAAAAGAATGGGAACTTCACAACAGCCGCCAAGAACCCAGACATGGACACTCTGGAGAAGAAACCTCAATAAGTGGCAAGTTTAAATCAGTGTGAAATTTATTTTGATAGAGAATTCACCAGGGCTCTCTGAGCCGGAGATACACCATGAATCTGAACCTCCTCAGAATCAGACTCCCCCAATGAGGTATTTACCATCTGTCACTCTTCAAGTTCCACCTCATCTAACTCATCATCCACGTCCACCCAGTCCTCTTCTATAACAGGAGAGAATACTGGGGAAGGGGATCACCTACGCTTCTTACTGCCATGCCATATAGAGGCAACATCTCAGCGTGAGTCAGCTAAGGTTGACAAAACCTCCTTCATAATAAACAAATATGATGATGATGTTGATAATAATGTCCCTGCAGTAGCAACACAACCAGACAAGGGCTCACCCCTAGCCTGTCAGGGAAAAATTAAACCAGCGGGACTACATCCAGTGTCCTCAAGACCTGATGCAGTGCCTATGCTCCTTACCCTGCTGTGCTCCCAACCCCCTGCTTTTTGGAAGACTTTAGCTTGCTGAGAAATACACCCGGTACCTGTACCAGAAAAACAGGCAGTCTCAATCAGCTGAGAGGAGACTTGAACAACAAAACAAGTTCAAGATACCACGGGATACTTCCACCCAAAACTACCAGTGCCCTTTCCTCCACAGGTGTATTTACGTGTACCTAAAAGTGCAAAACTGCCCTGTGCCTCATGATATAAGGTGCTCCACAGTAAGGACTGCAGCACATGCTGGCTGTCTCTTACATTTAAAATTGTTTCCCGGACCCCTCCTGTGATGTTACAAGTGCCGCATGCGCCTGCGTCCTGAAAACATGCAACACTTGCACACTCCCCACAGCCTGAACACAGGCCGCACTATGCACCTATCACACAGTAAGGAAAAGCAGCAAAAATGCCCAGGGATACTTCCTGAAGCCAGAGACCACCAAGTAAAACGCCATTAGACATGCACCATACATTCCTCTATGGGCACCGGAAGAAGGGACAGACAACTTCCATCCTTTAAACACCAACATCTAGTGCAGGGGTGTCAAACTGGAGGTCCTCCAGCTGCTGCAAAACTACAAGTCCCATCATGCCTTTAAATTTGGGAGTCATGCTTGTAACTGTCAATTTTGCAATTCCTCATGGGACTTGTAGTTTGGCAACAGCTGGAGGGCAATCAGTTTGACACCCGTGATCTAGTGGAACACACAAGAAGGACTAGTAGCACACAACACAATAGGGGTGAAAGAACTCCAGGTTGGCACCACCAACATATGTGAATCCCATTGAGCTCTATTTAGGATATTCCCATGCCTACCTCTTAGCTACAGTTCTTTATACACTCTATGCTCAAACACACATTAAAAGAAGACAGAAGACTAAGATGGTGGGTGTAATATTTAAAAATGCTTTATTGATATAAGATGCCTTGCTTATTTCAGTTTGCATGTTCTCCCTGTGCCTGCGTGGGTTTCCTCCAAGTACCCCGGTTTCCTCTCACACTCCCAAAGACATGCTGCTGGTAGGTGAATTGGCTCCTGTCTAAATTGGCCCTAGTATTTGTATGTATGAATGTAAGTTAGGGACCTTAGATTGTACATCCCTTGAGGGTTAGGGACTGAAGTGAATATACAATATATATGTAAAGCGCTGCGTAAATTGAGGGCGCTACATAAGTACCTGAAATAAACAATAATACATTTCTTAGAGCCCTGGCTGTTCATAGTTCAGTTGATTTTTGTTTTTGTTGTTTGGTTTTTTTTTTATGGTATTTCAGTTTTGTTTCATGTAAACCTAACATGCAATACTCTCTCCTATATCTCCAACCTGTTATTCTGGTTTTCACAAAATGCACTACTTTATCATGACTGTGTTACATTTATCTTGCTATATATACCCTTGTATGTCTTTCATTATTGTAATAAAAAAGAATTAAAAAAACAAAGTTGTTTTATCATTATATACTATAGTATTATTGATGTATAGCTAGTTAATCCTAAACTCTCTGGAGACCAATTACTGTTTATTTATTAGTGAATTAAGATGGATTTACTATGGCAGCTAGATATTCTCCAAATCTACATATTTATTTTATTTAAGTATAATAAATGAACCTGTGATTAAAATTCCTGCTCTAAAAATAATACTAGGGCACATATCTGCATTACCAAAAATTATTGTTTACAAAGTCCTGTTTTTTGGCAAGAATATAAATGTACATAAATGTAAATCACATGGTGTTTATTGTTTTTTTTAAAGGTTTTTAGGAAACACACACAAACCATGTATCGGTAGACATGCTGTATTGCAGCAGGAAGGATGAAACCATCTATGGGCATGAAAAAAATAGCAGCTTCAAACATTTTCACATTTAGTATTCAACAGCTACCATGAGCATTGTGGGTGTATCACACTAGAGATTGCAGAGAACCTGCAAACACTCATATATCTCAAGAGCTCTTGACATAATACTATATGCTGGTAACTAAGATTTTAAAAAAAAGACAATTCATAAAATAACAAAAATAGAAAGAAAATAACCTTACTTGGTTAATCGATATGCTCCTACTGCAATATTAAAGACAACTCCAAACAGCAAACCAATATTTGCAGCAAAGCAGATTGTTACTACATAGGTGCAAATCCATATTACCTGTTGGAATAGAAACATTCAGTAAAGAAAATTAGGAAACAACAGATAGGGGTGTATTTATTAGAAAATGCAAAGAAATTCGTCCAGAGAAAGTACATGTACATTTGTTCTGTTAATATGCCTCTTCCTGTGCTGATTGAATGATTTCATTGATTTAAAGCTGAAAATATTGCATTTGGCTACTAGATGGCGCTAATTATCATAGGACATTCCTATGATACTTAACACCATCTGATGGCCAAATTTGGTATTTTCCATTTTAAATCAATGCAATAATATTGTTATGCAGCGTGTTATAACTACACCCATAGGTAGTATGTGACTTTTAAAGATTCCAAACCAGTGAGTCAAGATCGGTCTTTGAAATATTCCACCATCCTGATAGGTGGAATTGTTTGTTACTTATCCTCATAAACGGCACAATTCTTCCATCAATGCTCATGTAACACCCTGCTATAAATGTCTGATGCAGGATGTTGAACTCGATGGCAGTGTCTTGCAGAGCTGTGGTATTCACATGTTGAACTTGTATGCTAAATCCCAGGACTTTGCTAAGGAGCAGTGCAGTTAGAAACTACATTTCCCAGAAGAGCTGCCATGTGGGTGTGGGGATATATATATATCAAAGCCCAGGAGACTGGATAAGAAGTGAGAAAAGAGAGATCTAGAGAGAGGAGTGTACTGATTGCCAGAGGACAGGACCAGGCAGTGGGAAGAGAGAGAGGGGAAGCAAGGAGAATCTGCTGACTGCTGACCTTGCCACTTGATCCAGAGAGCTAATCTGTCATCAGGTGACCGGAAGGAGTGCTGCAGACGGGACCAGAGAAGGCACAGAGACTCCCATGAGAGGAAAGAGAAAGACCACCAGAATTCGCTAGATGCCATCTCTCGGATGAGAGAGTCACAAGCACTACCAAAATAGAGGAACACTGGCACTTGCTCCATATTTGCTAGTTTCCAGCACACAGTTTTGGACATTGCATATAGTTACCATGAGTTGTGGCCTAGTTCCTTCAGCTGCTATTCCTTGACCACACTCAACAATGCTTTAGCCTCAACACTGATAGCAGGACAGCCATCCCACAGGTCGAACCACAGCTGTGTCATCAAACATTTGCTGCAATATGTGTCTCTGATGCAATATATGGCTTTATTAATATAATGCTGCATCACTATTTCACTTACAGTTTCTGTGTCTATCTTGGTGGGACTATTACAGGCTTCATAAATATTCATGTCCATCATATTTGATTTATTAAGAAGTCTCAAAAATCAGCTCAGTACTTACCCAATCAAATTTATCAACATTCCAGTATTTCTTCAAATCTAGGAACTGTCTAAGCATCCCTTTCAATCCAACAATAATGACACTTGCCAATACACACTGCAACAGGAGCACAAAAATACACGTGTTGGGTTAACGTATATCTAAAACAAAGGCCCCTTTCACACAAGGTGGATCCGTCAGTGTGATCTGCCTGCTCAATGCGAGATCTCTCCGCTCATCCCCGCTGAGCAAGCGGATGTCTCTGTCCGTGAACACAGACACTGCCTGCTGATTTCAATGGGATGGTCGGATGGAAACGGTCCACCTGTCCATTTCCACCCAAATGCCATCTGATCTGCTGGACGGATGGGGAACAGATCCCATATGTCTGTTTTTGGCGTACAGGATCAGAGTGGATGCCGGCGAGGTTTATTGGTGGAAGAGGAGAATCCATCCGGGGTCTGAGGAGGTACACCAAAAAGGGAGTACATCTCTCCTTAAGGGGACAGTGCTATGTTTTTGCTAGTCCACATTTTTGTACATAGTTGCTAGGAAGTTTGTCATCCAGTTCTACAGTTCCCCAGGCATCCCAAATACCCCTAGATCCCATCTAAGTTATTAACCTCTTAATAAAAACAAATAAAAACCAACTCAAAACTGTTTTACTAAATCTGAAGGTACTAGTGTAGAAAAAGGGGCGGACTGACCATTTGGAAACTCAGGCACTGCCCGAGGGCCCGGGGTCACTAGGGGGTCCCATGAGATGTCTCTGGTACCTTTTTCATAGGCATTTTTGAGTTTGGAAAAGGACACAGGGGCCCCATGATCCCCTATTGCCTGGGAGCCCCATGAGTTGTCAGTCCGCCCCTGTGTAGAAAATGCATGTTGCCTGGCTGTGCAGAGCATAGGGGGGACCAAACAAATCCAGTGGCCCTTGCAAGAGTGGTGCTTCAAAATATTTTGATCTAAGATATATAGATAAGTATAGAATGGACTTCTGGGAGAACAAATCCCCTAAACAAGAATCCATAAAAACAATAAAAACATGATATAGGTTCAACAACCTGTCTGGAGACTGGCTAGGCCACTCCAGGATCATAATGTGCTTCTTGAGCCACTCCTTTGTTGCCTTGGCCGTGTGTTTTGGGTCATTGTCATGCTTGAACACCCATCCACGACCCATTTTCTATGCCCTGGCTGAGGGAAGAAGGTTCTCACCCAAGATTTGACAGTACATTGCCCTGTCCATCGTCCCTTTGATGCGGTGCAGTTGTCCTGTCCCCTTAGAAAAACACCCCCAAAGCAGAATGTTTCCACCACCATGTTTGACAGTTGGGATGGTGTTTTTGGGGTCATAGGCAGCATTCCTCCTCCTCCCAAACAAGGCGAGTTGAGTTGATGCCAAAAAGCTCAATTTTGGTCTCATCTGACCACAACACTTTCAACCAGTCCTCTGCATCATTCAGATGTTCAGTGGCAAACTTCAAATGGGCCTAGATATGTGCTTTCTTGAACAGAGGGACCTTGCGGGCACTGCAGGATTTCAATCCTTGTCGGCGTAGTGTGTTATCAATTGTTTTCTTGATGATTGTGGTCCCAGCTGCCTGGAGATCATTGACAAGATCCTCATGTGTAGTTCTGGGATGATTCCTCACTGTTCTCATGATCACTCCACGAGATGAGATCTTGCATGGTGCACCAGACCTAGGGAGACTGACAGTGGTTTTGTGTTTCTTTCATTTGCGAATGAATGCACCAACTGTTATCACCTTCTCACCAAGCTACTTGGCGATAGTTTGGTAGTCCAGTCCATCCTTGTGTAGGTCTACAATCTTGTCCCTGACATTCTTGGACAACTCTCTGGTCTTTGCCATGGTGGAGAGTTTGGAATCTGATTGTTTGATTGCTTCTGTGGACAGGTGTCTTTTATACAGGTAACAAAATGAGATTAGCAGCACTCCCTTTAAGAGACTGCTTCTAATCTCAGCTTGTTACCTGTATGAAAGACACCTGGTAGCCAGAAATCCTGCTGATTGATAGTGGATCAAATACTTATTTCCCTCATGAACATGCACATCAGTGCATAATTTGTTAGACATGCATTTCTTTTGAATTTTGTGTTGCTATTCTGTCTCTCAGTGTTACAATACACCTACCATTTGATTTTTAGACTGATCATTTCTTTGTGAGTGGACAAACATTCAAAATCAGCAGGGGATCAAATACGTATTTCCTTCACTGCATACCATAGAAATACAATTTCCTGCTTCTTTGGTTAAAATGTTGTAACTGTAACAATGTTTGCTAAAATCCTTGTTATCTGTATAGATCACCTAGAGGGGAGTTACACTTTAAACAACATTTTTACTTACCATTGGTAGCCAGTATAAAAAAGGTACTATGAAATATATGACCAAGAGGACAAGGAAGCATGATACCAAACAGGCAACCTAGAGATCAAACAAAGTGTACATGTAAGGTCATAAAATAATGAAAATTTAAAAAATTTAATGAAATAATCACTAAGCTCCAGTCAAATATCAGAATACAGAGGAGTGTGGAGGTGGTTTGGAGGGACTGAGACTGTTTCAGGCTGCCAGCAGACCACTCATCACCACAGGAGGAGGAGCAATGGAACACAAGTGAGTGACACAGATGCTGACAGAGACCGCTGCCTAATTAAGTAGAAGGATGCTGCGGACACTGACCAGTTGTGCTGCTCACAGTAAACAGAGGGAGGTCACCTGCTACCACAGGAGTAGGTGAGAGGCCACTAGCCAAACCCCACTACACTTTAACAAAGAACAGTGTTGCCTGCAAGTATTACAAAGCCAATGCTTTTATCAGTGCTTTAGGGGACATTATCCTGAGTGCTCCGACATAAGCTTTGGGCCCCAACGAGCTGGCCAGGAGTAGAGAGAGGGTATATTGTACACTGCTGAACTGTGATGGTGGTGTAACTCTCCTTAGTTAGGATTGACGTTGTATAGGGTTGAGAAGGGGTTGGTCTTTAAGCCAGTTGTTTGTTCCACACTATATTTCTTGCTGCTGTTCACCCATTGCCATATATTTCTTGCAATTGTTTAACTATTTGCTGTGTCTTTACTGTTATTCATATCTCTTTTGCTACTGGGGAACTACATATACATCCACAATAAATATTCCCACCCAGGCAGGTGTCTCAGAGTGCGTGGTGCTTTTCGCAGAGTCATGGGTACAGGAACGGGGACCTGAGAAACAGAGACGCCATCGGAGGTAAAGCGGTATAAAGGTGAACATGTGAAGAACTGTGTTATCTGTCCACAGATTTACACAGCAAGGATCTTGTGTTTGGATTAATAGTAAACATCATCATACTGGTGATGGTAAATTCACATTAATGGGTATTAAAAGCACACATGCATAGGTACGAATGGGCCCTAATGATCATTTAGTGTATAGAAACTCAGTTTAATTATGGATATTAAACAGTTATACAAGCTCAAATTAAAAAATATTTAAAGACATTATTTAACTAAAGTGTGTTTTATACATATATACATACACACAGTATATGTTAATTGAAATTCCTATGAGTGCTGACCTGTGTCTGTGCACCACGGCTATATAGGAGGAATGTCCGAGCTGGAGCTCCTGCATTTGGTATGCAGAAGACAAAAGATGGAATGATATTGCTGAGTCCATGGGCAAAAAGCTCCTGTAACATACAAGAATGATACTTCACTGCAGGAAATCATCAAATATTTAACAATAGGTATAAAGATATCAGTATAACAAATACTCCAGTTAATCCAAATGTTTCTTTAAACTGGCATGCATATATAATAGGCCATCTTTTGGGTATACTATATTTTACATTTTCATATATGATTAACAGTATCCTTTTGAAATTTAATGTAATATAAATATGTGGGCATTATGAGCCATATTGTAGAAAAGTCAGATTGGAAATGGTTGAGCTGTAGTGGATCTAAAAATCAGATTACTGGTTATAGGTATGTTTGAGATGAAAATTCATGTGAAAGCAATTTCCAAGACAAAGATTACGTTACTTTGACTTTACCTGGTTTTCAGAAACAGGGTATTTGAACCTTCTGGCTGAATTGTAAGCAAGGAATATGGAAACTGCATATCCAACCAATGCAACACTGAAGGCTTCCACCATGACCTCCTGCAGAACATCCATTGCTGGGGCCTGAGGAAGAGGAATTCTGAAACAACAGAACAAAAAGAAACCTGATAAATGGCGATTGGGGCAATTTATGGCCTGGTAGATTTTCCTTACCATACCACACTTGAGTGTCTATAAGTACACTATGGAGGTGATTTACTAAAGACAAATAGGCTGCTCACTTTACAAGGGAATGTTCCCTTGGCTTAATGAATGGGGCAAAGCTCTGCTGTCTTCCACCATCCAATCTTTTATTTTCTTGCACTGGATTGGATTTTTGCCACATTTATGAAGCTAAGGGAACATTCTCTTGCAAAGTGAACAGCCTATTTGCCTTTGGTAAATCAACCCATATGTATTTGTTCATATGTGAGTATGATGTCTGAGGCTTGAAAGCCTTTTTTCCATAAAATTTCCTTTGTGAATTTTTTTTACAATATCACCAGCTCTTTCCTCACCCATCCCCGATTGCTTGGGCTTGGGACTGTCATGCAGAATGCGATAACACATGTACACAACCAATTTGTACACACAAGGGACAATTTACACAGGAGCCAGTCAACCTTCCAGCATGTCTTGGGAGTGTGGGAGGTAACCAGAGTACTCAGAGGAGACCCATTCAAACATGGAAAACAGCGCACCATGCACACAGGGTGCTGGCTAAAAATTAAACCCAGGACCCCATCCCTTCAAACACTTACCTCTAAACCACTGTGGTGCCCCACCATACGTGAATAGACTTCAAAGTTAATCAGGCATCCTTCAATGGTCTTGTGTTGACTATCCACCACTCCACCATAAACATTCATTCAGCACTGGACCTTTTCTAGTAGTCTTAAAGAGACACTGTTACCTTGTCCATTTAGGGCAACATGATCATGTTTTTGTAAAGCCCCCTGAACCCCCGAAACTCAGTTTGCCAGCTCTCTCCCGCTACTCCTGCCTCCACTGCAGCTGACACTAAGATCCCCAGCTGAGATCTCCAGCTCATGTTGGGCACTAATGAGAATGGTAATATCAATTCCCCAGTCCATGTGCAAATGCCTGTGCCATGGGAGGAGGTCACATGCTCCCCATTCCAAGAAACACTGAGTTTTGTTGTTGGCTGTGACAGAGTCAGGAGCAAAGAGGAAGTGCTGGCAAGATTTGTGTCAGGAGTTTTGGGGAGAAATGGCCTTTACATAGATACTGTTACTTTGCTTTGAATGTCATTTTAAGGATGTGTATTCAGTCCTTGTCATTGGGGAAATGAGGACAGTGGTCATCAATTAGCATCAATTAGGCTGAAAAGCCGGCTTCCGGGATGTGACACCTTTGTGTTAATATGATTGTCAACTTCTGGTGAAACCGGTTTGGAGGAAGTGGCCCCAGACAGGTTGTCCGCCTGACATTGGAAGCTCTAAAAGGAGTATATCCATACATCAAAAGGGGTATGTTTCATCTCTCATAAAAGCTAAAATATTAGTTGCAGAGAGATGAACATTCTCCCTTCTGTTAGCGCATTCTGTAGGCTACATCGGCACTAAAAATCATATTTGTGGTTTAGGCAGAAGGCCAGGAAAATGCAGGAAATGGTTAGGTGGTGCTGGAGTGCGACAGTCGAATGGTGTTTGGTACTGTCGCGATCGGGTCGATGCGCTGGTGTCGGAAATCCCATCCCCGACTTGGTGTTTCAAGCTGGTCTTGGTCCAATTGAATTTGGGTGGGTCAGCACACAGAACATCCTGTGGGCAGGTACAGGAACAGCCCCCCATGGTCAGTTGACCAAGGACTAATGTCTCGCCTCCGTCCATATCCCCATAAATTGAGTACCCGGACACTGGAACATTTGTGATTCGTATGGAGCCAGTTCGATTTGACTGACGGATTGCTGACGCTCTGGCTTGCTCCAGTCGCAGGATAGATCTTGGTAAAAGTTTTATTCTGTTTTATTCCCTTTTTATTTTATAGTGAATAATCATTTGTGCGTCCTCTTATATTTTTTGTATTTCTGTAACTTTTTATATTTTGTACATATTTTATGCACTGCCCACTTTCGGGAAATTAAAGCTTAAAATTAATTAGTGACTTCTGTGTATTTAAACACGTGCTCATATCTTTGGAGAGATTAGATTGGAGAGATTAGATTGGATTAGATTAGATTGCATTGTATTTTAGCGCCTTTAAATGCTCGGTCAAGCTCATTGCCAATCTGTATGCAATTGCACTGTGTGTGGGCAGATTGTAAAAGGTAACAGATCGGCCAGACAGAGATCTGTGTGTGTGGGGTGTCCCAGCAGACCGTTCTGCGGATAAACTGTTGGGTGGTGGCAGGCTACCTTTTGTGGTGTGTCTGGTGTGGGGGTGTGTGTGGACTGTGGAAGAGTGATTAACACTGGGGTTCAAGCTGTAGGGTAGCTGGAGGGATCCTAGAAGGGTATGTAATTACTAAGCTGGTCCTCAACCCTAGTCAGTGCACCAGATTGTATATAAGATTTGCATCTGTCAGTGTGTAGTCGACCAGCGTGATTGGAGTGGAGTCTCCCTCCGGTGGTGGCAAGAGGTAGTGCGGGCTGTGGAAGGATATCACGGCTGAACTCATATACGGTTTTATATATTCAAAGTTAAGTCCCCTTTATTCCCTCTTACCCCAAGTCATGGCCGCACGTGCGTGCCTCGGTTAGCTAGTTGCTGTGGGCGTAACGTGTGGGTGGATTCATGCCATATATTCATTACAAAATCATCAAATGTAGTTTTAAACGCAGTTAGTATAAGTACCTGAATTTATTGCAGCAGCAATCTCTTGTAATCACAGTACAACTGGGACTGAGTGAAGGGCAAAACAAGGAGCCAATCAGGTGTTATGTAGTCTACGTGTGCTGACATGGAACAAGCTGAGAAGTGAGCTAAGTGAGCAGAGGGATGACCTCAGTGTACTGCTTCTCTTTCACTGTACAGTCACAGTCTGGAGAGACAACCAAGGAATATTGTTAAAGCAGATCTTCTCGCCCCCATTTTTTCAAATCCCTGCCAGGTGGTGTGTTCTGCAAAGTTCAGATACTCACCCAACCAGAGGATCCAGCATTGTTCTGAAGAATCCTCTCCTCTTCTGCCACTGATTGGGTTCTGCACTGTCGTGTTCTTTGTGACATCATTGGGAGGCTACTGGCTCTTCTGGGCTCAGCTGGCAGACCTCCTTATGACACACTGCTAGGACCATTCCATCCTCCTTTGTGAATGAAAAGCTATGCCTCCGAAGACATGTGACATGCATATCCCAGGAGACACAGGGAGCACAGTGCACTGCATTTGACTAGGTGTGTGGCATGCATGGGGTGGCGGCCCAAAGTATTTTCTTAAAAAATAGGGTAACTTTTTAAAAAGCGCTATTTGTGTAGGAGGGAAGTTCAAACTTCCAACTGAGGATGAAGATCCGCTTTAAAATATAGTAGAGAAAATGTTTCTCTTGAAGGGCTGTAAAAACCTTAAATACAAACGCCTTTCAGGTAGAACAACTTTGTATACGTGTTTCAACAATGAATTTAATGGTTTGCCTGAAGTCTAGCTTTCAAGGCATAAAGGGGAAGGTATATGTTTAGGGCACCCTAAAAAATAATTTTACTATCAATAGAACAGTGAAACAAAGTGATAGCACTTCTACTTCTGTGTTCAACCTACCTTGGAGTATGTAATAAGAAGGATAACAGATAACACTACAGTGTATGGCATATGCTGATGATATTGTGGTAATGAAATAAAATCAGGCCTTTCTAAGTGATGAAGAGAGATGAAGAATCAGAGAAAGCAGAACTTCATTTAGGAAACACTTGGCAGTGACAAGAAAAATAAGATGAAAATAGCATGAAGGATCATTTAATAATGCCTCGCTCCTCCTACAATGCATTATTTGTTTCCACTCATTGTGGCTTCCATACTGTTTGCATATGTTGGTCCTTTCCATTTGGCCATCAGACCTCATGCTTTTATTTTTTATCTATTGTAAATGTACTTTGCATGTTTTTTACGTATGTCATATTACTTGAAATCTCACTAAAAAGTTTGAACAATAGCATGAAGGACATATGAATGGATATAAAGATACAGTATGTGATTGAGAGCATTCTCATAGAATCTTGAGTGCCCGATTTTTCTAAGAGGTAGCAGTGAAGCATGCTGATATCACCAGTACCTTCTGCAATTGGAAAAGGCCAGGGTCCAGATAAGTACATTTTTTTAATAAAATTAAATTTTTAGCTATCTTTTTTAAGCTTTTTTCATTTGGATAACTTGATACTGTCAGTAAAGAGGACCTTACATTTTCATTCAGGATCTGCTTTGTAAAGATAGATCAGTTTCTGTCGCAGCTTCACTGATTTTATTTAATAACAGCCATGATCTGATATTCAAACATTCAAAGTGAACTGCATCAGAAAAATGTTTTGCCGTTATTTTGGGGGAATTTCAGGTAAAAATATTGGCTGTGTGCTGCATAACAATGGCGTTTCTAGCCAATACCTTAAAAGTTATAAAATGAATTACCCTTTTGGAATATATCCAATGACTTCAATGCCATAATCCTCTTCCATATTGGCAAAATAACAAGCAAGAGAGGTTACAGTCATCTGTGCAAAGGAAAACAACATGGTACTATTAACAAATTGGGATGAGACATTGGGGTTGATTTACTAAATATACAGTACTGTGCACTGCAAGTGCAGTTGCTCCAGAGCTTAGTAAATGAGGTAAAGCTTCACTTTGCAAAGAATACCCAATCACATGCAAGAAAAATAAAAAACAGCATTTTGCTTGCATATGATTGGATTATAGAAATCAACAGAGGGTCCCCTCATTTTATAGCTTCCCCTCAGATCTAGAGCAACTGCATATGCAGTGCACTTACAATGCACAGACGATTTGCCTTTAGTAAATCAATCCCATTGCCTTAACATGCTATAAACAACTCATTTTTCATTACTCTAGTTTTTCTATAATTTACTCTTTAACCATCTCCCGCTCGCCATATAGTAATATGACGGGCGCAAGGTGGTTCTCTCGTTATGGGAGGACGTCATATGACGTCCCCCCATTCTCACTGCGCATGCGTGGCTCAGGGAGCGCACAGCGTGGCGTTCGGCGGTGCGCTGTTTTCCTCGGACACAGCAGATCACCGATCACGGAAAGAGCCGAAGATGTCGGCTCGGTCATGTGATCAGCGGTGTCCAATCACAGCTGATCACATGTAAACCCCCATGTAAACGCCTAAGCACCCACCTCACTGATAACAACCTCCTTGACCCCCTACAGTCTGGCTTCCGCCCCCTGCACTCCACCGAAACCGCCCTACTTAAAATCACCAATGACCTGCTAACTGCCAAAGCCAATGGCCACTATTCTATCCTCCTGCTCCTTGACCTCTCCGCGGCCTTCGACACTGTTGACTACCCTCTCCTCCTTGCCAAACTGAACTCCCTTAGCATCAGGGACGCTGCTCACTCCTTGTTCGCCTTCTACCTTTCCCAACGCTCCTTCAGCGTCACCTACAACACTGCCACCTCCCCCTCCCTCCCCCTCTCTGTCGGGGTCCCCCAAGGCTCCGTCCTCGGGCCCCTCCTCTTCTCCATCTATACCTCCTCCCTTGGCAAACTTATTCACTCCCACGGCTTCAATTACCACCTCTATGCCGACGACACCCAAATTTAGCTCTCCACCCCCCACCTCACCCCCTCACTCTCTGCCTGCATCGCCCACCTCCTAAACGACATATCAGACTGGATGTCGCTCCATTTCCTCAAACTTAACCTATCCAAAACCGAGCTCCTGGTCTTCCCCCCTCCCCATGCCCCCCCCATCCATCTCTCCATCACTACTAACAACGCCACCATCTCTCCCACCCCACACGCCAAAGTCCTGGGTGTCACCCTGGACTCCCACCTCTCCTTCCTACCCCACATCCAACTGCTATCTAGATCTTGCAGGCTCCACCTCCGCAACATCTCCAAGATACGCACATTCCTCACCCCAGACACTACCAAACAACTCGTACACTCCCTCATCATCTCACGCCTGGACTACTGCAACTCCCTTCTCACTGGCCTACCCAAACGAATGCTATCCCCACTCCAGTCAATCCTAAACTCTGCGGCCAGACTCATCCACCTCACCAACTGCTCCACATCTGCCACCCCCCTCTGCCAATCCCTTCATTGGCTCCCGATTGCCCAACGCATCAAGATCAAGCTGCTAACCCTGACCTACAAGGCCACTCACAATGCCGCCCCGAACTACATAACTGACCTGATACCCAGATACTACCCTACCCGTGCCCTCCGCTCCTCACAGGACCTCCTGCTCTCTAGCTCCCTGGTCTCCTCCTCCCACACCCGATTGCAGGACTTCTCTAGGACTTCCCCCATCCTCTGGAACTCCCTACCCCAATCCATCAGACTGTCACCTACCCTCCTCACCTTCAGGCGCACCCTGAAAACCCTCCTCTTCAGGGAAGCCTACCCCAACCTCACCTAACACCCGACCTCACCTAACAATTAACCTCCTCCACTCCACCCACCACTCCATCCCCACAGCCATCTCCTCCTGTGCCACCTTCCCCTCTCTCCTAGATTGTAAGCTTGAAAAGCAGGGCCCTCGAACCCCTCATGTAGTGTATTGTTACTGTCTTGTCTCATGTTATGTCCCCCTTGCTACTGTACAGCGCTGAGCATACCCTTTGGCGCTATATAAATACTGTATAATAATAATAATGTAAACAGGGAAATGCCGGTTATCTGCATTTCTCTCCTCTCGAGCTGTCACGCTGACAGCTCGAGAGGAGAGCTGGTAATCGGCTTTCCTCGGAGGGGACATGTACACTGATCATCAGTGCCCTGATGATCAGTGTAGCCCCAGCAGTGCCACCTATCAGTGTCCATCAGTGCCTTATGTCAGTGCTCATCAGTGCTCGTGCCAGTGCCCATATCAGTGCCACATATCAGTGCCTACCAGTGCACGTCAATGCCACATATCAGTGCCCATATGAGCTGCCTTTCAGTGTCCCCCATCAGTGCCAGTCAGTGCCACCTATCAATGCCAATCAGTGCCACCTATCAGTGCTGCCAATCAGTGTCACCTATCAGTGCCAGTCAGCGCTGCCTATCAGTGCCAGTCAGTGCTGCCTGTCAGTGCCGCCTATCAGTGCCTGTCAGTGCCACCTAATAGTGCCAGTCAGTGCCGCCTAACAGTGCCAGTCAGTGCCGCCTATCAGTGCCAGTCAGTGCCGCCTATTAGTGTCAGTCAGTGCCGCCTATCAGTGCTGCCTATCAGTGCCATATATCAGTGCCTTGTATCAGTGCTGCCTTTCAGTGCCCATCAGTGATGCCTGTCAATGCTCATCAGTGCCACCTACCAGTGCCTCCTCACCAGTGCCCATCAGTGCAGCCTATCAGTGCCCATCAGTGCAGCCTCATTAGCGCACATCAGTGTGAAGGAGAAAAATTTACAAAATTTTTATAACAAAAACTAAGAAAAAACATTTTTTTTCAATATTTTCAGTGGTTTTTGGTTTGTTTAAGAAAAAATAAAAAACCCAGAGGTGATTAAATACCACCAAAATAAAGCTCTATCTGTCACAAAAAAAATGATAAAAATTTCATATGGGTACAGTGCTGCATGACCGCGCAATTGTCATTCAAAGTGCGACAACGCTGAAAGCTGGAAATTGGCCTGGGCAGGAAGGGGGTATAAGTGCCCTGTAGGCTAGTGGTTAAGGGTCACAGGATTGTTTTTTGTTTTTTTTCTTTTAGTCTAGATGCCTAATTATTTATTGGACTGCTAGAATGTTGGCTCATACTATGGCCTGGTGTGCAATGTCTGTGCTGTAAAAGAAAATAATAAGCCTTCCAATTCATAAAAGAACACTGAATGCAAAAAAATACTGATCAAAAATGTTACATAGGATATTGCTTTAAAGTGGAAGTAAACCCACTTTGGTAACATTTACCTACAAGTAAGGCTTTAATAAGGCTTACTTGTAGGTACTGTAAACATCTCCTAAATGTGCACAGTTTAGGAGATAATTACTGTAGAAGTGCCAGTGATGTCACTAGCGCATGTGCACTACACTCTCAATGGATGACGCACCATCCATTGAGAGAGCTGTGCCATAGCTGCAACTCCGTTCGCATATGCGGAAGTGATGACATTGCAGCTCAGCTAATCAGATGGCCGCAGGTCGCGTACCCGGAAGGAAGACCTGGTGAAGATGGAAGCCTCGGGGAGCTGTGACAGCACTCCGCTGGAGGGCTTTGTTTTCAGGTAATTCTTTGATAATGTGCTAGTATGCAGTGCATACTAGCATATTATGCTCTTAACTTGCAGGGAAATGATTTTTTAGAATTTTCACTACCACTTTAAGAAACAAATGACCACAAAGTCAGCAGAGGTAAATTAGGCACCAGCTCATTGGAACCGATTAATGAAAAACTAGAGCATGGCTAAGGCCGGCTATACATGGGTCAAAATTCGACCGATTTTTGGTCTGAAAATCGGACCTAAGAATAATAGGCCGATTTTCGCTCTGTTAGTGGGACAATGGCACTGGCCGATTTTCGTGAATCTATGCCCCCCAACCCCCCACTAAACAAACAATAGCAAAACCCTGACAGCCCTCCAGCTGTTGCCAAACTACAAGTCCCATGAGGCATTGAAAGATTGACAGTTACAAGCATGACTCCCAAAGGCAAGGCATGATGGGATTTTTAGTCTGGCAACAGCTGGAGGGCCTCCAGTTTGACACCCCTGATATAGTGGAAACTAAAAATAGGATCAGTAAGGTGATGATCCACGTGAAGCTGGATGCAATCATCCTAGATAGAGTCGAACATTACACAAAATGATGGCATCCATGGGTACACCACTTCCTCCCTCCCCACATTTCATTGAGATCCTCTTGCTTCCATGGCGCACTTACACCCTCATCACTCCTGACACTCAAACCTGATTGCAGGGATGGTTATCAAGCAGGACTCCAGGACCCCCACCCCCCTTTTTTTTCCCTTTTCTTTCCCCTGTTTCCAACAGGTACCTGACTCTATTGTCCACAACAACATTTGTCATGTGGAGGCACCACCTATGAATTCCCTTGAATGTCTTTTTTAAAGATTTTTATGGTTCCAGAAATTATAGAGAGCAGAGTGACCTCAGGAGTGATTGCGATATGTACACCTGTCACCCTGGAATACACCCCATCCACAGCCGGAGTAGAGAGCAGTGACTGGTAGTCCCAGCTCTCTACACAGAGCGACAGGGTTCTCACCCTTAGAGTTGGCAGGGGACAGATGCAGCGTCAGATCGCTGCTGCATCCACCTAGGTGAGTACGATTTAAAAAAAAAAAAAAAACATACTTCTCTTTTAAGAGAGAACAATAAAACAATTAGCACTTACTAATATCAGGTCAATAGGAATGACAAACTTGATCTGTTTTATATACTTCTCGTTCAGCTCTTTTGTCAGAATCAGTACTGTGAGGGACAGAAGGGACAACAGCAGCACTGATATTTGGATCATGTTGATGTTTTTGAAAATGTAGATATAAATCTGCAACAAGAAAAAAGGGGGGTTAAAAAGAAAAAAACTAGGATAAATGTAATATAGTTGCAGGAAACTGATTGTTAGCTATGCTATTTTACAGGTGTTGGCATCTTTGGTCTAATTTCCACCAGATTGTTCATATTGTCCTGACAAACCCAAAACATTCTGAGTGGCTGAACTGCCTGTATTTTACAATTGTCCCTAGAGTTCCTAAGGGTTCATTCACACCAGCAGATGTGCATTAAGGTGCTCATAACACAAGCATGCTGGTATGTGCTGTGCATGCACACTGTGATGCATTGTTAAAAATGCAATGCAATTTTTATCTTTTTAAGTTAAACATTATTTAACTATACACTTTATTTACCTACCTGCTGAACCAGCCAAATTCCGATCCATTTATGGCCAGGTTATGATCATTTTATTACAATCAAGTAGGAAGGGTACATGGGTAGGGCAATACACTGAACAATGTAAATATTCCCCAGCACACTCTCTAGCTAGTCAACTCAAATAACCTTATTAAATTGTTCCAGCATTTAAAGGTTGAAAGCAGTTTTTTTTAGCCAACATCTACAAACAAGTTACACTGCCATGCCAAGGCACCTCTGCAAAGTGTGGTCCCTAATGCTAAAATGTTGTAACCCTCTTTTTTTCTTTGGTGGGGGGGGGGGGATGATGATAAATGGCCCTCCTCAAACATGATATCCCATTAAACCTGTAAGTAAATAAGAGAACCAGAACCTTCTCTGTGTGTTTGATAATAAAGTTGTCAGTGCCTCCACCCAGAGGGAATTTTTTTTCCTGGGAACTTAATAAGTAATCTAAACATAATAGTAATCTAAGTAATTGGAAGCAGAGGAACTACCACAACCAGCATTTAAAATTAACCATATGTATCTAGATGAACACCAGTATAGAAATAATACAAGCTTTATATACAAATATTTTAATAATAGTATATGTACCTGATGTACAAACAAGTATTGTTAGCAAAGGGCTTGATAGGATTTCTGGTGGAATTGTGCACATATACCTGGGTATATATAGTTATTAACAGAGATACCTCCAGATGAGCGTTACAGCAAAGTTCAGTTGCAGGGGCTCCTGAGGATGATGCAACATCAGTCATTGTGTCTGAGACCTGAAGACAAGATCTGCAGTCATTGGAAGATCTTCCAACTGTTGTGCAATCAACCTGGAATGGAGCTCTTCATCGGCAGGAACTGTGGTGTGGTGTGGTCAACCTATCTACTCTTCGCTTTAGCTCCTCCCTAATAGTTTCTAATCTGACAGGCATCCAGACCTCTAAACTAAGTGGCAACCAGATGTCTAATCTGACTCTAGCCTATGCTGGTTATCAAGCCCTAACCTAAAACTAGCTATAGAATCCCATTCCAGAAGGGTCAGGGTTAACTAGAATAACAGGAACTGCATATAAACTATATTGCAATACACAAGTTCACCTGCCAATATACACTGATCAAAAGATTAAAAGAACACTATTTAATCAGTGTATCACATAAAGTCAATTGAACTCCCGGGATGTTGATCTGGTCAGTTAAGTAGCAGAGGGGGTTGTTAATCAGTTTCAGCTGCTTTGGTGGTAATGGAATTAACAACAGGCGCACTCTATGGGCAACAATGAGACGACCCCCAAAACAGGAATGGTTTTACAGGCGGAGGCCACTGACATTTATTTCCTTACTAATCTTTTCTGACTGTTTTTCACTAGTTTTGCATTTGCCTAGGGTCAGTGTCACTGCTGTTAGCATGAGGCGATATGTGGACACTACAGAGGTTGTACAGGCAGTCCAACTCCTCCAGGATGGCGCATCAATACGTGCCATTGCCAGAAGATTTGCTGTGTCTCCCAGCACAGTCTCAAGAGCATGGAGGAGATTCCAGGAGACAGGCAGTTACTCTAGGACAGCTGGACAGGGTCTTGGAATGTCCTTAACCCATCAGCAGGACTGATATCTGCTCCTTTGTGCATGAAGCAGCAAAATGAGCACTGCCAGAGCCCTACAAAATGATCTAAGTAGGCCACTGGTGTGAATGTCTCTGACCATCAATCAGAACCAGACTTCATGAGGGTGGCCTGAGGGCCCAACATCCTCTAGTGAGCTCTGTGTTCACTGCCTGGCTCCATAGAGCTTGATTGGCATTTGCCATTAAACACCAGAATTGGCAGGTCCGCCACTGGCGCCCTGTGCTTTTCACAGATGAGAGCAAGTTCACCCTGAGCACATGTGACAGACATGAAAGGATATGGAGATGCCTGGAGAGTGTAACATCGTTCAGCATGACCGTTTTGGTGGTGGATCAGTGATGGTCTGGGGAGGCATATCCATGGAGGGAAGCACAGACCTTTGGCCATTGAACGTTTTGGAAGAATTAACCATTCTCTGGTCTCATTAAAGTTAAGAACCACCAGTCTAGAGAATGTGCTGTTCATAGTGGATAAGAGAAAGTTCTAATGCTTTTTTCAACTTATATATAATAAAAGGGGTCAATCTGAATTGATCACAAATAATTTCCTTAATTTAAACAACCAGCCAGATGTAGGTTTACATAAGTAAATCACACAGACATATGTTAAAGTACCTACATAAAACATTCCCAATGGTCCAGATATATAAGGTATCTTCATTCCTAGCAGGAACTTGACTTGTGATGTCACCACGTGAGTCGCTGCTCCTGTTGTCATTGCACTGACTACAGGCTCTGAGAGGAGAAAAGTGGCACACCCCAACTGCAGCAAAGACATTGACATCTGTTGAAAACATGGAAAGCACAATTAATTTCAGAGTATACCCCACTGCCAAATATATACATTGCAAGGTTTTTAGCAAATATCTTTGCACAGTCCTACCTACTGCCTACATTAATCCTATACAATTCCTAACTATTGCAGTCGCTTCTTACTTTGCTAGTGCTCAGTGAGAAGTTTGTCCCATTGCAGTCACCTGATCAAGCCCAGCATTGCGATAGGAGAAAAAACTGTAAGCCAATCCCATGAGCAGGAAATACCTCCTCCAGGGAGTTGTGTACATTAACTGTGTATAGAGCACATCTCCACAAGGAACCAGTTTGCCCATTTTAGAAAATCAAGCCTGACTGTCAGTGTAACTAAAAAATGTACATTTTATTAATGCTAGAATATAAAAAAAAAAGCTTGTTTAGTAATTGTTCATATGAACTTGTCATTTAAAATATAATTTACATAATATTATACTGAAGTACAACAGGAAACGGAAGACTCTTTCTGTGAGGGAGATTCTAAAATGGCAAAGTCAGCGCTGTGAGCTTGAGTTGGAAAGTCTCAACATTTGGATCCATGAGAGAAGGCATTATTTAGCATACCAGAGTCCGGGGCCGTGGATATGGGGTACCAGCAGTCCTCCTGTATGGGGCCCAGGCCAGTAGGGGGGCCCAGGTAGCTGGGTGAATAGTATGTGGGCAGGGAGGGTGATTGTCAATGTGGGGGGGGGGGATTACTGGAATCAATCCCCTGTATGGTTCTCTCTGCAGCAGCTGAAAGCTGGCTTCTTCTCCTTTACCTCCCTCTGGCTTTCAGCTTCTGCAGAGAGAGCCATACAGGGCATCAGATCTGCACCCATTACCCTTTCTGTGCACCATACATTTCACCCTGGTCCCCCGTGTGCCCCTACCCCTGCTGTGCTGCCGGAAACCCTCCTCTCCTTTCCACTGGCAGCTGTAGGCATACAATAGGATCATTCAGGATTGAGAGTGAGGGAAGGTTCTGGTAAATATGTCACTTTTACCAGCCCCTTTCTTTCCTGAATGCACACAATGAGTGATCTGTATCGATCACTCACTATGCTCAATTATAACTGATGCATAGTAAACTGTTTTTTTTTTTTGGGGGGGGGCTGTCAGGTTCGGTATGGGGCCCCATGGTTGCTAACAGCATCCCTGAGTCTACCCATAACTGAAATATGGTCTAGATCAGCTTTTCTCAATTTTATACTCCAAAGGAACCCTTGAAATAATTGTTAAGTCTCAGGGAAGCCCTGCTAAAAAAAAAAATTATCAGGGGCAGTGCAAAGCATGCCCCTTACATCAGTGGTTATTAGGAAGAATGGCCCCCTAACAGAGGTGTCACAACACCACCCTATACCCAGCTGCTATAAAGATTATTGGCGTAAAGCTGCTGGTTCTACCAAGTGACATTGAAGATGGAAGGGCAATCACCCACAGGTCAAGGAACCCCTAGTAACCTCTCAAGGAACCCTAGGGTTTCATGGAACCCTGGTTAAGAATGGTTGGTCTAAACAGACCATCCTATTAAGCTGGGTTCTCGGTTCTCACTGAACTTATTCTAAGTTATGAGTCCATATCCTGTTTTGATTAGAACAATTGGAAAGAGATGGTAAAGATATATATACACAACAAACTCCAAAGAGCAGAAACAATGTATTCATTGTTCTATAGGTGGCATTTATGATGCGAATAATGACAATGATTCTTCTCTGCACAATGGTGTCATTGTAAAACTACAAATTCCAGTTGTCATTGGTTTCCTGATTTTTAATGGAACTTTTAGCTGAATAATAGCTAGACACTAACAGTTACATTTACACAATAAGATCTCATGCACACTAGGAGTTTAGCCAGTGTATGGCCAATCCCAGAGTTTTACTGTGTTGGGCAGTCACAACTACAGTGTTTAGCCTTGCAGCCTGTCAAAATTTATGTCAGCCTGAAAGCAGCTGCATCTGGACAGGGCTCAACACTGTACTGAGCGGTAGCTGCATTTAGGGCGCTCTGACCTAAGCACTGCATTCTGGGAGGAGGATACATACTTCCTTATAACTGGAAGTTCCATGTATTGTATATAGTGGACAAACATACTTCAAGCCAGCCTTCTGGAGGATTCTGAAAAGTAGTGGACTGGGAGAGTCAAATTAACAGCCTAAATATTTATGCAGTTCCAGCCAATCCCTGGGGAAGGGTGTTCAGATGGTGGCTGTGAGGGTGCATAAATAGTGTGGGATAAAATTGAAACAAGAGCGCACTGGCCTAGCACATATCCCAGATAACAGTTTATTGAATTATAGATAAAATATACTCACAAACAAGAGGTGACAAATGGCATAACAAATGACAGTCACTGGAAACATGCTCTATATGTCACCACCATAAAAGAAGCTGGCTCTGAGGAAGAGGCTTTCCCTCCAAACGCGTCAGCCTTTCTTTGGCCCTTAGATGGCACTTATTTTATGTTGGGGCCCTTGATGCTATATGGAGCATGTTTCCAGTGACTGTCATTTGTTATGAGATTTGTCACCTTTTGTTTGTGACTATATTTTAACTATAATTCAAAAAACTGTTATCTGGGATAATGCGCTAGGCCAGTGCGCTCTTGCTACAATTTTTTCCTGCAGTTATATCTGACATCCCCTGTCGTACACAGGAGCAGCAAGGCTTGGATTATCTGCTTGAAATTTTGTACATATTTAGGTTCCACCATACTTCCCTGTCTTCAGCCCTCTACACCCATGCGCAGGAGCTTTTGGCATAAATAGTGTGGGGCCTGTGGGGATTTTTTCTTGTGGAGGAGAAGATCCCAGCCTGAAGGGTTGCTGCCCTCCTGGGCAGTTCTGCTGCACCTTATTACAATATGTAACAATCAATAAAAATATCATACAAATAAACAATTTTTTAGGATACATAGATGCTTGTAACAAATCTTGTACACAGGCCTGTGACATAACGTTTACCATCAAATAAACGTATTTCATTGAACTTCGCTGTAACAAAATATCATTGTTGATAGAATTGTAACAAATAGTCTCTTCACTGCATCCAAGTTCAATGAAATAAGTTTATCTGAGAGTATAGGTTATCCCTTAGACCTCATGTACAAGGATTTTGTACTATGTACCCTAAAAATCGTTTATTTTTACAATATTTGTAATGATTGATTTATATTGTAATAAAGTATCTTTTAAGCATTGACTATGTGTGCTATTCAGTTGGCACCTATAAAATGTGCTCATTATTTATAACGAGTTATCTCTATGTTTATGGTATTAGAAATATTGTGCCCAAGTGACTTCCCAACAACCTTTATATATTAATATTTTATCAGTAAGGATATCATTGGTATCTTTAAGCCTGGATAAAGTCCAAGTGTCTCATCCAGATCCAATTCCTCAGACAAAAGAGGGCAGATCTTCCTTGCTTATCTCTTCCTCAGGCAGTGCATCTGCAGTAAAAGCAAAGTCAGAGACTGACTAACAAATGAAGGGCTTGTTTATTACTCTTGCAACCTACTGCCTCCAAACAGACCAAGATCCTGCCAATAAAATCAGATATGGTGGCAGAAAACTCTGGTAAGCTGTGCCCATTGGAGTGCCCAGAGGAAAGCAGGAAGTCACATTGAAGCCAACTGTCCAAACAAAGGATACTAGGGCCCTGTAGAGACAGACTGGGCAAGCCCAGTACTTACAGTGGAAGATGTCTTTACACTCTGGTCAGGAATAAAGGGACTAAACGCCATCCTGGTTTCACCCTCCACAATGGGCATACCCCTCAAGAAGTCTTCAAAGAAAAAACTTCACCACCACAAGAGCATTGCCCTGCCCTGGACCCTGCATACCCCCCAGAAGTCTTCAGGGACAGAACTCCACCCCCAGCAAACCACGGCCCTGGACCATGTAGCTAACTCAACATGATGCACCACACACCAAGGTGAGTGCCAAAAGCGACATTACAGGTCTCCCCCACACCTTCTGCAGGCAGAGTCTGGGTACAGTCCCCCAAGGCTCAGCCAAGGAGTTTACTGATCTGGAGAAGAGTGCCACAGTGACTATGGTACAGCCAAGAACTTGATATAAGAATCTTTAAGAAAATAACCTCCAGATAAAAAAGTTAAGTTCTCTCAGAGAAGACATCCATCGTGTAATGACGATTGGCTAGCTGTGAATAGGAAGTAGGAAAGGTTATATAGGGAATGTCAGGTGTAGAGCTGGCAGAGCACCCAGCTACACCTGATATCCCTGTCTGACCTGAGGGTTAAGACTGGATGTTCAAATCTAACTTTTTTGACATACAAATATGTTAGCATATGACTGGGAAAACTAATTGTATTGTCAGATCCTAGGATGTCCCTTTCACTTTACATCCTGTGCTATGTAAAATCTGCTGTTATGCGTGCCTCCAAAATGGATCTTTGTATGTTATGATACTGTTTTTGTTCTTTGGTGTGTAACACCTTGGTTGTTTTTCTGTCTCTGTAAAACTGAAAACCACTTACCTACCAGGCATTTTTTTGCTAGAAAATTACTTAGAAATTACTTAGAACCCCCAAACATTATATAATTCTAATGCCCTGGAGAATAAAATGGTGGCTGTTGCAGTTTTTTTAAGTCACACGATTTTTGTGCACCCATTTATGAAACAAAACTTTTAAGGAAAAATGCACTTAAACAAATTTTAATGTGCACAAACACAATATGATACCCAATAATTCTTTGGTAAGATATAGACAATGACGTTGTGTCGAGTAAATGCACAAGCCTGTGAAATGGCAACAAACTACGGTATCTAAACATGTCCATAGGAGATGATATTAAAGCCTTTACATGTTATCATTTAGAGTTAATATCTATATATTAATTCCGTGCTGCACCACCAAAATCAATGTATAATCATATACCAAGGGCAAATACATTTCCACATATGTGAATAAAGATAACAATGATAGCAAAATTAAATAAAATTAAATTGAAAAAACTCCTTGTGTGA